TTAGATTCCTCTCAACGAGCTCTACAACTTCAATTAGAAGCCCAAAGGTGGTTAACTTAGTACGAAAAAAAGTTTTAAAATGATGCAGCCCACATTTGCAAAACTCTAATTTCTATAAAGTAAATCGCATCACGTTATACTATGACCTCTCACTGGCTGACTGGCGAATCACCAATTAAAATACTTTATAAAAGCTTGATAATGATATCATAATCTTCATCAGCCGTAGAGAAACCAAGAGCCAAAAATCTTTTCTGTATATTTAGTGTAATAATCAGTAAATATGGTAAAATTGACTTAAAATCCTGTAAAAAAAGGAATCATAAACCTAGAGACATGCTAATATACCAACTACTATTAATCAGCTTAAATTATATGAGGATTATATGCCTGAACTTAAGCTTTATTTGTATCCTCACTCAATTTGTAAAAAACATTACAATCAAGTTGTTTTTACTAATCATTTTTATCAACACCTTTTAGAAAATCTTGCTTTTAACAATACTAGTTTTAACGATCCTGTTTCTACCCATAACCCTAATGTCTATGAAGAAATTAATAATGAATTGTATCTGGAAACAAGCTATATAGAAAATTATGAATGTACACTTACAGCATTACAGCAAGAATTGGAGGAACAAGAAAATAAAGAATGTATTATAATCAAGGAATTTCAATGAAAAATTGAAGAGCAAGAACAAATAATATTTGAATTAAAGAAGCAGTTAGAAGAGTGCCATCAGGTTATAGTTAATTTAAAAAGCTTGTTTAGTGATGAATTTGATAAAAATAAGAGACTGGTCAAACAATGAAATTCTCGATACTCCGATCAAGATAAGCACATATAAGCAGTTACTGATATTGTGCTAATTAAATAAAATTTTTTATATAAGAATATTGAAGCTTTGATTAGAGATAACAACAGATTTTTCTTGGAAAATCTATTAAACTATACCTCTTATATATGGTTAAGTAAATGCAATCAGGTTCTTGTAAGGTTTATTGAAATGCTAACATACAATAATCTCGATACAGGTCCTGAAAGTATAAAAAAAATTTATAAAAAGGCTATAGATATCGATTCAGTATATGGATCCAGACATGGCAAATACATATCAAAAATAAGTCTCTTAGTATCAGTTATTAAATATTTCATTGCAAGATTAAAAACTATTATCAACATTAATAATCATATCACAAGTTCAGAAAGCTATTTCTATTTTTAAAACTGGTTAGATGAACTATTAGATAATAAAAAAGCTTTACTAGAAGGTCTTTTATTTGTAGTGTTTGACAATGAAGAAAGGGGCAAAGGAATTATCTTGATCAGGGGCTTAATATCATGATATTTCATACTATCAATAGTTTATCACTTTAAATATAGATTTACAAAATTATATTCAACATACTAATTATAAACCTTGGATCTTTGATTCTCTTAATAGGTTTTAAAGACCTGGTATGATGCAGGTATTATTGACTATAATGAAGGTTAATAATTAGGTATAATTAATTGCATATACAATCAAACCTCTTTATAATCACACCCTTGGTTTTAAGAATTTGGTGCTTATAGAGAGTTTGTACTTATATAAAGATTAAATTTTATTAGTGCTATATAAGTTGGTTTTAAAATTTTATAAGATTATAAGCAAATGTGACTATAGAGAAGGTAACTATAAAGAGGTCTGACTGTATTAATAAATAAATAATAGCAATAGATGCAATAAACATTATAATACAAATTTTACATATATGTTTTAAAGTAATTTATATACAATCAACCTCTTTATAATTACACTCTTGGTTTTAAGAATTTTGTGCTTATAAAAAGTTTGTGCTTATATAAAGGTTAAATTTTATTAGTGCTATATAAGTTGGTTTTAAAAATTTGTAATTATAAGCGACAATAAAGAGGTCTGACTGTATTAATAAATAAATAATAGCAATAGATGCAATAAACATTATAATGCAAATTTTACATATATTTTTTAATTAACTATTCTCCAGTGAACTGAAGAATGTTCATAGTGAAACGTGATGTGGTTCTATATATAAATTACTATAGATACAAAAGTAAAAATTTTCTAGTGATTGTCCAAGGAAAACTTTTTTTCATACTAAATTAATCATCTTTAAATCTCTAAGTAAAGTTGTAGAGCTTATCGAGAAGAATCTAATGGTAGTTATATCATTCAAATCAGCCTAGTGGATGCCAAGATATCTTTAAAAAATGTTTTGCTAACTATATAAAATTCTTTAAGAACAATCCAAAGAATTTTTATATAGTTAGTGAAAAGTTTTTCAAAGATATCTTGGCATCCACTAGGCCAATTTGGAAAATTTAACTACCATTAGATTTATCTCAATGAGCTCTACAACTTTACTTAGAGACTCAAAGATAATTAACTTAGTACAAAAAAAGGTTTTACTTGGACAATTACTAGAACATTTCTACTTTTGCGTTTATAGTAATTTATATATAGAACTGCGTCATGTTTTACTATAAACATTCTTCAGTTCACTAGAGAATTGTCAATTAAATGTAATTTATATACAGTCAAACCTCCTTATAATTACACCTTTGGTTTTAAGAATTTGATGCTTATAGAAAGTTTGTGCTTATGTAAAGGTTAAATTTTATTAATGCTATATAAGTTGGTTTTAAAATTTTATGTGATTATAAGCAAATATAACTATAGAGAGATTGACTATAAAGAGGTCTGACTGTATTTGCTTTAATAAATAGTAATTGCAGATTTTATTGTATAATTATTAGTATATATGTATAAACTGAGTTCAGGATATAAATGTTCTGAAACAGTATTCTAATAAGTTTTTAAGCACAAGCTAACCAGTTAAAGCAGGATAACATCTCTATAGTATACTAAGTCTCAGGCTTGGGCATTGCTCCAGGTTCAAAATTTTAGTTATTTTATATTTTAATAAAAAATTTAATAAATACAGAAAGACTTCTCTAAGTGCACTTTCTATAAATATACTTTTTTTACTTCAGCAATTCTTCTTTTATTTTTAATATCAGCAGTACCTTTCAACAGGACATCTTGGTTAGCTAAACCTACAATTATCTATTAGAAAATACCTTTAGCCTGTACAAATAAAGAATCTCTCGATCTATCTCATTATCGCAGTAAAAATAAAGCGAACCCTAAATTTATGCTAGAGTATGACCCAGGAGCGACTTGCCTAAGCGATCAATTTTTCTCTTTCCGGGATTCTTGACTTCCCGAGGATGTGATCCCCAGATATCAATGGATGGTTATCACCGACCTTGTCAAAATCACCACTCTACAATAAAGTATCATCAATCTGATGACACTTTCTCGTAGAGAAGTAAAAAAGAAAAAAAAAGGAGTAAGTGTAGAACGAAAAAAAGATAAGTAAAAAAGACTAATACAAAGAAGATGACCAAATTACAAAGGAGTTAAAAGACTATTCTAAAATCTAAGAGAACTTGTTTACAGATATAAAAACCTGCTAAGCAAATGAAAAACTATCTATATGGTTGTAGAAATCTATATATAGAGCTATTTGACAAAAGATACTAGGGTGCACTTTGACCTGTGCATAGGGTTAAAAATTATATGTCTATGACTTTGGACTATTGCATATCTCATATTATTGCTCTAGTTATCAAATCTCATATTAAATCCAACTCGGGTTCTAGAACAATCGACTTCAAAGCCTCGACACGTGATCATCGATTTTAATTCCGGCCTCAAAACTTCCTTCTCACACATGTTTGTTGTTTTCTTATTCGTCATATCACAACTCGAGACTTTCTGAGAATAGAAGTGGTAAACACTGCCAATCTCTTGCCGATCTTTTGGAGAGGGTAGCCAAATCCTCCACTTTTTATCAAGAATTATAAAAAAAAAAGAATGGCCCAAAGAAAAAATATAGTTTTGCGAGGTTCCAAATTTAAAGAGTGCTTTTCTAATTCATTTGTTTCGTCCTTCAGTCTTTTCTTTCTTCCAAACATAGATTTCTGCACTATAGTGTTTCCAAAATATCCTTTTGGTTTGAATACCGAATATGTAAAGGGAGTTCACTAAGAAGAAAAGCTTAACCTCTTTGAAAACCAACATACAGACACCCGTGCCTCAGTATATCACATCTGCAGTCTTCATTGACAACACTTCATTACTGGGGATGGAAGTTTACTAGGACTTTAGGCTTCTACTCTTCATCTTGTGTTTGTAAAAATTCGGTTTAAGTGATCGTCAGGGAGAGTTGCATTATATATTATTGCTCTATAAATGCACTATTTATATAAAATCTCTTTAAATGCATAGTATAATCTAGTCCCAGCTTATTATATCTTTCTCTTTATAAATACACACCCTTTTTAAATGCACATTTTTAAAATTTTTTACTATATCTCTGAGAGGGTGTATTTAGAGAGGTCTCTCTGTATTATAAAAATTTATTTAATAGTTTATTAAATATTACTGCATTTTCAAATTACTGTGATCATCAGATGATTGTTTATTACATAAAAATCTGTAAAATTCTCTTAATTGATGATTCTCCAGTGAACTGATTAATTATCTTAGTGTAACACAACACGATTCTATATATAAATCTCTTAAGACAGAATTGTAGTATTCACACAAGGAAAACTTTTTTCTTACTAAGTAAATCATCTTTGAGCTTCTAACTAAAGTTGTAGAGCTCATCAAGATGCATCTAATGGTAGTAAGAACATTAAAATTGGCTTGGTAGTTCTTGAAAAATCTTTAAAAAACGTTTTAGCAACTATATAAAATCTTCTTTAAAAAAATCGATTTTCTTTAAAGAAATTTTATAT